TTTGTTTGTTTGTTTGTTTGTTTGTTTGTTTGTTTGTTTGTTTTAAAGAGAACACCACTGCCTGAATGAGACCCCAATGAATTGGTCAGAGAACCACACGAGGAGAGTATATTTTTTTTAAAAAAAGAAAAACACTTAAATTTATTGAGCAGAGGGTTGGGGGGAACAACCGTCAAGTGCCTGTCAAGAAGTAACTTTTCTTCTGAGAGGCTTGGGGAGGAGAGAAACTTAGGCTCACAGATGTTATGCAGCTTCCGCATTGCACTGTACTCTCCTCTCACAGAATATGAGGCCAGCTTACGAAGAAGGGGACTGCCACATCAACCTATTTAGTTTACCTTATAACCATAAAACCAATAAAAATGTTACTTTAAAACTGAAATTATTTGGGGGAACATGCTAATGTTGGTACAGTACTGTCAATGGAAAGGACACATGGCTCCCTTACAACGGGCACAAGGGGCCTATAATACCCCAGTCCCTCAGTGAAATCTCACAGTGTTCAGCTCTGTGGTTTCTTCCACTTCCTTCCAATGAGATGTAGCCTAAATTTTATTTCAAAGAAAACAACATATTTTTAAAATATTGACAGTGGACTAAGTCCAGCCTCTTTACCCTGCTGCCAAGTCCTCATTTCTCCACACAAAGTGTGTGCACCCTGTGTCATGGAACCACTCCCTGGCTCCGTGATATTTGGAAGTTCACAGTACTTGGAACCATCTTTCCTCTCCGCTGCCTCGAGCGGTTAGTGCCTTTGCAGTTAACCAACCTCCTCTTCCGTGGCCACTTAGCTTGACTCAAGTAGCCATAGATCCTTGCCGAGAAGCGATTATGCCTTGCTCTATGGATGGGACAAGAACGCAAGAGAAAAACAAAGAACCTGATGCCGGTTTCTTGAGGCTGTTTTGTGGATTCCTTGCCAATCCCAAGGCTGCATCTCAAAACATGTCTGACTCTCTCGGTTTCTTTCTGCAGTTCCGGTTATATATATATTTTTTGGCCTATTGTTCCTGCTCAGTTTGAAGAGCTGTTATTAGAAGATCCAGAGGTTGAGGCAATAGCAGCCCCAGCTGGGCTGCTTGTTGATACAGACTTGCGGATGTGAGGAAGCAAGTAGGGGTCACATGCCAACTGCTGGACATCTATCCGATCTTCCTTCCGGTATGCCAAGCAGCGCCTGATAAATGCCTGAAAGAAAATCACAGAAAAGGTGAAACTGACATGCAAAGTTGGAAGTGGTGTTTCTTTTCTGCATCATCAGCAGACACACAGCAGGTTTACTTTAAAATTTAAAAAGAAGTGACACCCAACACTGAAAAACACATTCAGCTTCCTGAATTTGCTCCTTCCTTGAATGACTGAAGAATGCTCTTCCCAGGCCAACCAAATCTTATCCCCAGCACCTACTGATATGCCCTTTTCACATGGAATGATAACAGCAGCAGCTGCAACTCTTCTTATCCTTTCCTTCTACTACCGTTATCTGCTCCCACCTTCAATCTGCACTAGAGAGCCATTCGCCTGAGACAGTGCAGAGCAGGGCAACAAAAGTAGGTGGACTATAGAAACATGGAGGAGAAGTGTGGGAAGGAATCATGAGTGTTTATTTGCCCACTTCAGTGGGGAATTTGAAGACCAACACCTGACAAAATAGCTGGCAACTGTACAGAGACTTCAATCCCATCTTTTGGATGGCCCTATTTGTCAGCCCTATTCCAACCTCTGGTGGCAGCTATTGTATACCATTTTCCTTGCCACTTTGTACACACAAGGGGCTGAGCGAGGCTGAGACAGTGTGGAAGAGTCTTCCTGCTGAAGTGACAAGACGACCTATATTGCTCTTCAAATTACAGAAAGTAGATGCTTCACACTGGTTGCCTGCTGAGGTATAGGGAGACTGGATTGGTACTTGACTGGTCTTACTGCCAGAGTGTTCTTCCAGGTTGCACATGTTGAGGCATGGAGGGGAAAGGCCAAACAAAAATGGAGGCAATGTACAAAATTAAAGATAAAGGTTAGAATCTCTCCATTAGTCATGCCACCTGGCTCTAGCTGAAGGAAAGATGAAACTGCACAGATTACTACACCTACTGTTATTTGGCTCCTCAAGCTGTTCTATTAAAAATTATTTTACTGTGTATTGTGTACACTGCCCAGAGTGGTGTTTGCCACATATTGGGCAGTATAAAAACTTACACTGTTGTGGTCTCCTCCTCTCCTTTCTGTTCATCTCCTGTTATTCCCTTACCACTCAAACTGAACTAAATTCTGGAGTGATTAAGCTGTTCACCATCTATTTTACATGAGATTAGGATTAAGAACTCTGTAAATTCTGAATTTGAATTTTCGAGACCTCATGTTCTTTTAACCCTGAATGTTCTTTCTATGCCTTGTGAAGTTATTGTGGTTTTAACTGCTTATTTAATATATAACAATTATGTATTTTTAACTTCTGTACACCACTCAGAATAGTGCATGACACTAATAGGGCAGTTTATAAATAAACAAAAAAACAACAGTTTTTTTCGGGCTCTTTGGCTGTGTTCTGAAGGTTGTTCTTCCTAACATTTCGCCAGTCTCTATGGCTGGCATCTTCAGAGGATAGCACTCTGTCCTCTGAAGATGCCGGCCACAGAGACTGGCGAAACGTTAGGAAGAACAACATTTAGAACATGGCCAAAGAGCCCGAAAAACCCACAACAACCATTAGATCCCGGCCTTGAAAGCCTTCGCGAATACAAAAAAACAGGGTCACTCTGCAACTGGAAAAATTATTCATCTGAATTTATAGCACGTATGTTTTCCTTTCCAGACTACTTACTGCATTTTTCAGATTATCAGATGAAGGCAACAGCTTTAAAAATATTTTATAGAGATGAAATAATGTTTGTTGCTTTATACATTGAGGAAAGAAGGTTCCAGTGGTCTAGAAAGTAGGATTGGGGGGGATATGACCCCCACTGAACTCACAGGGGGGCACACCCCACTCCTATATCATACTGCCAAATTTGCTGCTATATTGTCAAATTTCAATATTATAGTAGGAGCAACATCTTTACAGTTCCACTTTTAGAACAGAGTGCATATAGAGTACACCCATTATTTTTAATCAGGACCATGCATCTGTGAACATGAATTGGCTCAGAAATTGGAGGAGTAAAGTGTTCCTGTTGTCGCACGGCTCAGATTCAGCAGCCAATCTGGCAGCAGTGGCCACAGAAACAGGGCAAGACACCCTGACCACTGAGAATTGTGGTTCAGGTGTCGCTAGACACTTTCCAGTTTCTTTGTCTCTTACCTTTGCCTCTGGCGTTACCACTGGCTTGGGAGGAAACTGCACCTCTGTAGCTTTAAGGATTGTGTTCTCCTGCAGAATATCCTGCTGAGACTGGTTGTGGCCAAAAGGCTGCAAAAGAAAACAGCAGCTTTGATAGCAAGCTGAAAACGTTTGGAAAGGGGAAAATGAGTGAGTGAAACATGTGTCAAGAAAAGGGCATATTGCAGAGTCACTCATCACCTTTAGAAGAGTGATGGTGATAATTGTCATGGGTGTGTGAATAAATCTGAAAATATTTATATGCGATTTTTGGAAGTTCTTTTAAAAGTCAGAAATCCTTTTCCAAAAGTCTGTTAAAAACTATGCCAACTTAGTTAGAGGAACATGTATTTTAAAATATTCAAGAGTGAATAACTAAGGATAGTTGAGAGAAGCCCACAAGACTGCAGCATGGAGGTTTTCTTCCCTATTCAGAGTCCACTAATTCCTCTAAAACTTTGCAGACCAGAATGAATTGTACTTTTAAAAGTTAAAATCAGGAAGCAGTAAACATTCTCAGAAATCTGAACTCATCTACCAAAGAATTCCCAAGAAGACTGAGAGTTCACTGCTAGAGCCTGACTGTCCTTCAACAGCTGAATGTCTTACCTTTCTGCCATAGAGACACTGATAGAAGATTACTCCCACTGACCAGACATCGACTTTATTTGAAATCTTTGGAGGTTCTTTTCCAACCACAAAACATTCAGGTGGCAGGTACCTGAAGGACAGAAAAATTAATGGCTGTGCCCCAGATACATTAATTTATGTTATGTCTGACATCCTTCTTCAGCATTCCATGTCACATAGTAGAATTTATCCATGTACAAAGTTCTATATTGCAAAGTATGGCAGTCATTTATGATGTCTTCATGATAATGTTCATTATGTGCAATAATGCAGATGAACAGATTTATGTTGTACCATCAAGGGAAATGGAACTTTACGAGAGCTACAGAAGAAACATTAGGTTACTGTCTTGAGGACTGTACTAGAATAGATGGCTGAAATTCAGCCTTTCTTTTGTATATTGGGCAATGTCTCAGATTTCTTAAATATGCTCACTTTTTATATGCAGCAAGATGCCAAGATGTTCCCAGTTTCCTGGCCTATTTTTCAAAGAAAAGCGGAATAAACTGGTATCTTGTTGGACCCATGAACAGCTCATAACAGCAACCTAAATCATGTCAGGAAAACAGTTTCTAAAGAATGGGAGATCTCCAGGAAAAATTCCTAATCTGTAACTATTTGCACATAGTTATTAGAGCATAAGAACTGCTGCTACCTCCTCAAATCCCAGCAGAACATGACAGGATAAAATAATGGAATGAATCAATGGAAGGGGGAGGTAATTTGCAATCCTATGCCTATTTATTAAAAGATAAGATGTACTGGTTACAATGAGATTATCTCTCATGGAATGTAACTTCAGCCTCAGAAAGTAGGACACATTTTTTCATGAATGAAGCAAGAGCAAGTGGGACCTGAAACAAAACACTGTAGTACATCTTCAGCTCCTAACAGAGGGTTTAATCTAGCAAAACACACTAGAAGTTCTAAGGAGATCAAGCAAGCTCACTTTTTCTCCATCACACTTTCTTCAACTGGCATAGAACATTATGTGGCTCCTGGAGGCCAATGAGCATGATTAATCTACTGTGAGTGCTTTCTTGCTCCCTTTCTGATGTTTTAAAAAAGATGTAACTTGCATAACTTGAATCCACCTGAGCATGCCGGTACCTCCCTCTTCTTGGTGGCCCCATTTTGGTTCCAACCTTTCTGGCAATCAGCCAGCTTTGCTACTAGGAGGATGAAAATCTTTGGCAGGATTCAGCTGAACTAATTTGATGAGACTTTGCTTTAGTGATGACTTAATTAGAATTAATGGACTATCAAGATGACAATCTATTTTTTTTATGATGTCTTGGCCATTAAAATGTGACTGATTTATTACTGAATTATAATTCATGATTTTTGCCTTGCCTGTTTGGTTTAAATAAAATATTATATAAAATATTTTACTTTCCATTACTTTAATCTTGACACATTTACAGAGTTTTCCTAAGACAAAAAGAATGAGAAATGGGGTTTATGGGGGCTTCTGATGAAGGGTTGCAAATTTTGCTTTTCCCAAATTAATTTGCTCTTCAGGTGTGTATGCTGTTATGGTGGTTAATTTTAGCGTGTGGTCATTTATCTAGTTTAATAATAATAATAAAAAAACCCAAAACTGTTTACATAGAACAGTATGTCACCCTCTACAACTTGGGTCAGGTGGAGGACTGCCAGAGTAATTTATTTATGTATTCCTTCATTGACATTTATGACTTGCCTTTCCACTAGTACTTAAGGCAGCTAGCAACAAGAAAATACAAGAAAGATACAAAATTGCAATAATCTATAATAACAGAAGAGGATATATGTCTGTCCATCAAGGCCATAACTGCAAGACTGTGGCACCTAAGTGTCCATAACCTGGCATGCATGCTAAGCAGACCCCAGGCGTGTGCATCTGAATCCTGCACTACTCAGTCAGCTGGTGGTAGATATCCTTAATCAGTGGGCAGGTTTGTCATCAATGTCTGCAGAAAGCTATCTGGCTTGATAAAATGATCATTTGGCCCACTCAGTCAAACCCATCTATTCTTCTCAGTACTGCTCCTATTTTAAAGCCAGTTTTTACATGAAGGATGCCTTCATCTGTTCCTGACCTCTGCTTTAAGCCTTCTATGAATGAACAAAGTTCTCATTGTTATGGCTGAATTTAATTACTATTGGCATAGTTTCTAGATCTATGACATCATGGAATGTTTCCAGCACAAAAAATAGATCATGACACCTACCAGTAAGTACCAGCCCCTTGAGATGTCAGCTCCATGCCATCAACTGAGTTATAGCTGTCATCATCCATGATCTTTGAAAGGCCAAAGTCAGTGATTTTAATCTCACCACATGCAGTACCGTTTACCAAAAGGATGTTACCTGAAGGAGTGGAGGGGGTGGGCATTAATGTAAATAAATCTCTTACATGTATGGTGGGTAAAACAGCAGATTGATCCAGTTAGAGATTTGCTGCACTTTTATTTTGGACCAATAATGACAAAACTAATGGCAAAGAAAACCTGATAATGCAACTGAGACTGTCTGGGCCCTATTCTTCAATAGTAAGCATGCTAATGACTCTTTTCTCTGTTTCTGGTTGCCGTGTTTTTTTAGATAGAGCTCAGCAAAGGTCTCTCTAAATTAAGGGTGTCACAAGATAAAACAAGAGTTTACTGGAATAAAGTAAACGATGGTCTTTCCATAAGGGGCAACTCTAATGAATAATGTGGAAGTTTGAAGACCAGAAAGTCATCAAATCCAATTCACTGCTCTAAGACAACAATCTCCATTCATAAATGTTCTCTCGACCCACAGCACAATCCATTTCAGCTCTTAAGAAGAATGCTGGGACCACAGTAGAAGAAAATGTGTTGTACTACATCAGACAAAGGACAAAGGACAATCTTGTCACAGGAATTAACATTTTCGTTTTTAAAAGGACTGCTAGTGATCTGTTTTTCAAACTACTTCTTCACTGTTAGTGAGATTATTATACCCTGACCAGTACCATCACTGTGTGTGTAAATTTACAAAGAGGACCTCATTTGAAAAACTATAAACATAAAATCTGAAAGGGAGCAAGATTACAAAATATTATGCGATTTTTATTGACAGAAAACACTGAACAAGCAGGGACCTGCAGACGATATGGTGTCCTACCTCGTATCTCCCATGCTTTTTTTCTAGACTCTACTGTAGACATACCTGGCTTGAGGTCGTAGTGAATAATAGGTGGTTTGATTTCATTTAAATATTTTAATGCATTCACAATCTGCATGATTATAGACCGAGCTTCTTTCTCTGTCATTAATTTGTGCTGTTTCAGGTAGAAGTCCAGATCGTTCCCCTCACAGTATTCTAACACTGTACAAAATCTGAAAGAAGCAAATTCAAACATAATGCTTTACATTTTGCAAATGAGTATTACAAGATCTGCTCTTCTTTCCTTAGTTATTTGTAACTGCAAACCAGGAGTTGGTTGTTAATGATATAGCAGTTTACTCTGTTAATGACAGTGAATGCAGGTTAGCTGCTTTAGAAAAGTCCACCCTTAACTTTTTCTCAAACTGTTTATATCAATCAAAAGGTTGATTAGAGACTGAACTAGGGAGCTTTCTGGATGATTAAAGATGCTTCGGTCATTTGCTCCAACCCAAGTTATTCCTTTTAAAATTTAAATCCTGATTTTCAGGACAAATCTGACCTGCAAGGCACAGAATTTATACACATTTAGAAAACAAAGCAACTTGAAAGAAATCAAGCATTTACAAGCCCTCTTTTCTTCTATTAGTTATAGGGCATATGTTTGGAATTCTCTAGAGACTATTATTGGTTCGCAATTGCTAAAAATGCCTCTTTGTTATGAAGCAGGGCACAAGAACACTGAATACAGCTTAGTTTTCCATTAGTCCTGTCCACTGCACTTCTTACTTCCAACTACGTAAGACAATTAAGAGGTTGCAAATGTAATCTGATTCTTACCCCTTTCCTTCCCCTGCTCTACAGAAAGTCATTCCACAATGAAATGTAACTGAAGAGTGATAGTTACAATTAGGATAATATAACTCATTTACATGATTTTTTCATTTTGAATCTCTGCCACAGCAAGGTCTTGTGTATGACCTATGTCCTCAATACCAAGATTTTCTCCCAGTGGGACTCCCCTCAACTTTCAGGCAACTTCATTACAAGCACTGAAGTATCCTGTTCTATAGCACAATTTTGAAATGGAGCAGCACTTACGAGTCAGTGTCCAGTGAGAAATAGTCATACAGCTTTACTATGCGAGGATGATCCAGCTCTTTATGAATTCTGTACTCCCTACATGCATGTCTGTAAGAACAAAACATGATGTTTTTATTTTAATTTCTATCTATTTTCTATTCATTCACAACTTGGGTCAGTTTGCAACTGAAAAAGAAATGCCACATTTAACTTTCTGTTCTATGGCAGGCTCTATATTCAGCCTGCATAACTGAACTGTAAAGCATTCAGAGACTGCTTTAAGCACTATGGGGTAGTATACAAGCAGCATACTTTGCTTAGGGAACCTTAATGTGATCACCAAGATCAAGGCCTCCGAGAAAGTTCAGTCTTCCAAGGTTTTCATGGAAAGCTCAGGAGAAGGGGACTCAAAGGAAGGGCATTTCATGGTTGTGGCAACATTTCTCTACTGCCTTTGCAGTCCACACCTGAGCCAGTACCCTTTCATCTGGAACCCAAGATCAGAAAAGAAAAGGGCAGAAGACAGACAGACTCTTTGCAGGGTGGGGGGAGAGAGAAAAAGTAGACAAAATGCAATAAACTAAATAACACTTAACGTATGGAGAAAGCGAAGCCAGATAAAGAGGAAGGCAAAGAGTTCTGATCTGGATGAAGCTAAGAAGAGAGACTGGCAAAAGGGGACAGCAGGAATCCTTCTAATAGCAGTGTTTGAATCATGTGACTCCCTTTTTTCTGGGTGGTGAAAGGTTGAAACCCTTGCTATACAGATTCCTCTTCTGTACCATCTGAAGCAAGAGCATTGATTTAATATTTTGGTTCAAATTTTGTTGCTGCTGTTTGCTCAGACCTAAGTGTCAGGAAATAAAATTTACACAAACATCTTCTTCCTGACTTACGTTTTGATTCAGAGGTTGCAAGCTTTAACAAACAAACAAAAAAACCAAAACAAACACATGCCCTGCCACCTACATAGCCTTTGAACCAAGATTCAGAATTACTTACTTGTGGTAGTTCTCTTTCTTTTCATCCCTCCAGTTTTTATTTAACTGGTGGATTTTTACTGCTACATATCTCTGTTCTGTTAAATCAAATGCCTGAAAGAGAAGAAAAGCTAATCAGCTGTTCCAAAAGGCCATCAGAGATTACATTTATTCATTTAAAGTCAGCAAAGCCAAGGCCAACTTTGATTTTGGATGGGTGTTGCGAAAATTCTATCAAATATCACCAGAATGATACAAAATACTCAGAGCCAATGGCAAAAAAAATTAAACAATGACAGTGAAACATTTCATTTTCTGGAACACAGAATTCCATTTATTTTCACAAATACTCAGAGCAAATGGCAAAAAAACAAACAAACAAAAAAAAACAAACCCAGTGAAACATTTCATTCTCTGGAACACAGAATTCTATTTATTTTCACGAACACCCCCAAGGGAATCAAGTTACTGTTGCAGAATATTTAGCAGGCAAATACTTAACATAAAAACTTTATTGGTGGGACAGTGGAAATATGTGTGTATGTATGTGCGTTCTGTGTTGTCAAGTTTGAACCAACTGGTGGGACAGTGGAAATATGTGTGTATGTGTGTTCTGTGTTGTCAAGTTTGAACCAAATTCCAGTTACCCTAATAGGGTTTTCAAGGTAAGTGAGATATTTAAGGAGTGGGTTTACCCCTTCCACTCTCCCCAGTCAGTATCCATGGCTGAGTGGGTATTTGAATCCTGTTCTCTAGAGTCCTAGTCCGTCACTCTATCCATTAAACTATACTATGTAGCAGTCACTGGGGTCTCCCCAGCAGCACCTATGCTCACAAACATCTTCTCTGACATCTTCCAAGATCTGCTGCTTCCTTTTTTTCCACTGTCATCTTCATTTGGGGCACAGGCACACTGCTAAGCAAAATGTTGTCTTTCAACTTGACATTTTTTAGTTTAGCAAAATGCCTCTGGGCACTGAAGCATTCATAGAAAATTAGGAGAGTAGGTGGTCTAGCAGTGACTTCCCTTAAAACATAACTTAATTTTCTAGTAAAAAAATATTAAAATATTCTTAAAGGTCAAAAGGCTACAGCCTGGCAAACTGGGGCAACAGGGAGGCTTCCTCCCCAGAGGAAGGTGTGGCAGAGACCATGGCTGGGGAAAGGAAACCCCCAAGCGTCCTATAAAGGTACTGTCCCATTCAGTTCCCCTCACTTAACCAGGATGCAAATTCTCCTCAGCAGAGCTGCTTAGAATGCTAAAAGTGCCCGAAAGCATTTACATCATTTCATACATATGCAATTGCATAGCTAGTACCTGAGAATGAAAGTACAGTAGTACATAGCAAGTTTAAAAATAAGACAAGTTACTCAGCTGAGGTAAATGGATGTAACTGCCTTGTTTCAACTCAGACCATTTCTCCCTTGTTCCCAGTAATTTCCTCTCAAACTAATAAGTCTCTCTACAGCAGTGGTCCCCAACCTTGGGTAACCCAGGTATTGTTGGACTGTAACTTCCAGAAAACCTGGCCAGCACAGCTGGTGGTGAAGGATTCTGGGAATTGCAGTTCAAGAACACCTGGGTTACTGAAGGGTTGGGAACCACTGCTTTGAAGGATCTAAGGGTTTCTCAGCACTATTTCACAAGACGACACTGGTTTCTGCACTGTTTCACAGCAAAGAATCGTATCATGATAAAAAACAGTAGAATGTTTATCCAACTTACCTTATATACCTCACTAAATCCTCCTCTGCCTAGGAGATGTAGCAATAAGTATCTGTCATTTAGTGTTGGGTGGTCTTTAAACCTGGAAAGGACAAGAGATATTATCCATACAACAGCTGCAATATCCTTGTTTTAACATCCAGCTAAATTACTCAGGATGATAAATGTCTTTGCAAATGGGGTCTCTTTCTCTATTTCTGCTTTGAGCCAAAATGGAGGACTAAACATCTAAAGATAACTATTTTTGCCTGCCTTGTCTCTTGATGCCAATGGTGCTCTTATGAGAGTAAACTACACTTCTGGGGCCCTTAATTACACCATACACTATAGCATCATTTCTAATAACTCAGTTGGTCAAACAGTTTTGATTTTTTTGTGATTGAAACACAAGTAATTCTTTCAAGGTGTTTTGCACCATAAGCACATGTCTGCCTAGTTCTCTCATCATCCACAACACCAGCTCCCTTAATGTCATACAGTATATATGTAGCAACCACAGCAGAACATGCACTGAAATCATACCTGCAGCACAAGGGCAAGAACTAGAAAGAGCTATGATTCAATCATCTAAAACACTGCAGGAGACAAACAACAAAAGGGGAGCAGAACCCAGGGCATCCAGTGGATCACTAGCTGGCAAGAGTGCTAGATGAAATAATGCTAAAAGGGAATGGGCCAATTTGTTCCAAACTTCAATATACATTGCAAGAGTAGGTAAAAAGCACACTGCATGTATGGATGACATATCAAATATAAATGTAGGGTGCAAACTCCTTTTTTGTGCTTTTGTTACCCACTGATGGCACTATATTAGCAATGAAATAGCAGCAAAATACCATCAGGAGTTAGACAGGCATATACATTATTTTCAGGTGTAGCTATATTGCCTCGAAGCATTTTGAAAAGCATATTTGACAGATAAATGCATACTGTGCCCTCTTAACACAGCACCTTCACAATTTTTTCAAAGTAGTATTTTGTCCATTTGTCATGTCGTCTCTAAGCTAAAATATGTATTTAATACTTGGACTAACTTACTAAGCTTAGACTTTGCACTGTTCCTTTCCTCAGTACTTACTGTGAATTATCTTCATTGTGTATCCTTTTCAATTCCCTGATGTGCAGATTTCTAACCCTTTCTAACCGCTCCAGTTCTGCCTGGATCTCTGCTTCTTCCTGCATTAAGTGAAAAACCAATTTAGGTCAGATTTTGCTTTGCTGGAAAAATTAACCCAAGAAGTCTGCCAGGCAATGAAACATAGAACACTACTTAGTTGCAACATAGTTTTCTTTATTAGACAAAAAGATAGAGAAAAATACTCAAACGCATGTTGTAACACAAGGAATAATCAACTAAACTGTACCACTACTTTCTAATATACGTGTTACAATGCTGTGTTAATCTCCTTTTCATATATGAATAAGGAAATGCTGCTTTGATATTGCTTCAATTTCACTCTTTCAAAATTGTCTAAGTCACTGTCCAATAGAAAAGTTATATTTATTGTACTTGTTTAACTGTATAAGAAAAAGAAATTATAAAAATATTAAAAGAAAAAACAGCATCAAATTACTAGAACATTTGCCACAAATTTAAGATAGCCAACACTGATTATGTGAAATCAAGCCATAAAATGCATTATTCTTTAAAGTGAAACACTATTAGTAGTAATTTGATGCTATTATTTCCTGTTGAAATAACAGTAACAGTAAGAATAATTTTATTGCGAAGTTCATGTTGCTTCTGCCTGATTGACATTTTTCTGGAGTTGCTAGTCACAAGATCCTTAAGACAAGGAAGACAGAAGGACTTGGGTGTCAGTCTTTTGCAGCATAATACATGTAACACAGAACTACTAGAATAAGGACTATAGGAGCAGCATGAAAAGCCATAACCAGTTACAGTGCTAACAGGCTAAGAACTAAGGCATGGAAATGGGAAAAAATACTATCGGTAAGTCTAATTTTTCCTTCCTTATTGTGGGAGACAACTTGTTTAAATTCAGTTATTTCCAAATGACATTGCTAGGAAGGTCTGAGGTTCCTAAATGAGAAGATCAAACAATTTATCCTTCAAAACTAACTGTACTGTTACTGCTAATCTCCTCCTCTAACATACTGACTGAAATCCAGTAGTGAAACTTACTATGTTATCAACTGTAGCATATATCATGCCTGCAGGATGATTTTTAGAAATCAAAGACTCCCCCACACCCTACTGACAGCAAAAGGGATCCCAATGGAGCCTTGAGATTTTTTGGAGGTGGGTGAGAATCAGAAAATTTTAATTACCAAAAATACCACTGTGGTGTCATTAGTCTTACATTGTTGTTGTTTAGTCGTTAAGTCGTGTCCGACTCTTCGTGATCCCATGGACCAGAGCACGCCAGGCCCTCCTGTCTTCCACTGCCTCCCGGAATTTGGTCAAAGTCATGTTGGTAGCTTCAGTGACACTGTCCAACCATCTCGTCTTCTGTCGTCCCCTTCTCTTCTTGTCTTCACACTTTCCCAACATCAGGGTCTTTTCCAGGCAGTCTTCTCTTCTCATGAGATGGCCAAAGTATTGGAGCCTCAGCTTCAGGATCTGTCCTTCCAGTGAGCACTCAGGGTTGATTTCTTTCAGAATGGATAGGTTTCTTCTCCTTGCAGTCCAGGGGACTCTCAAGAGCCTCCTTCTGCACTACAGTTTAAAAGCATCAATTCTCCAGTGGTCAGCCTTCTTTATGGTCCAGCTCTCACTTCCATACATCGCTACTGGAAAAACCATAGCTTTGACTATGCGAACCTTTGTCGGCAAGGTGATGTCTCTGCTTTTTAAGCTGCTGTCTAGGTTTGTCATCGATTTCCTCCCAAGAAGCAGGTGTCTTTTAATTTCGTGGCTGCTGTCCCCATCTGCAGTGATCATGGAGCCCAAGAAAGTAAAATCTGTCACTGCCTCAATATCTTCCCCTTCTGTTTGCCAGGAGGTGATGGGACTAGTGGCCATGGTCTTGGTTTTTTTATGTTCAGCTTCAGACCATTTTTACGCTCTCCCCATCCTCATTAAGAGATCCTTTAATTCCTCCTCACTTTCTGCCATCAGAGTCTTACATGGTATAAGTTAAAGCAACAGGATTTCAGCCACCGTGTTGCGTATGACTTAGGGCATGGTCTTGGTTCATACAAGATACACAGCTGGTATCTGCTGCTATGAAGTGGTTGCATAGAAAATGCCCCAGAAGCCACAATGCCACCAACTGTACAATTTTCTGTCAAACATGTTAATAAGTAAAATGAAGCAGTCTAGACTGCTTGAGAAAAATGGGTGACAATATTAAGATCGGTGACAATATTTATACATAGACAACAACAGAATCAGGTGCTTGATGGATGGAATATTAAATAGCAGCTGAAACCAGCACACCTATGAAGCTATTTGTAATACAATATATACATATATTCTACCTTTTTAAGATGACCTAGCCGGAGTTTGAAGATTTCTTCCTGTTCATGGTATTCTGCTAACGTTAACCTGCACATGCACAAAACAAGACGATCAAAGATTAAGTTACAGAAAGCATGAAAGGGAAATGTGAGGAGAGGGGAGAAAAAACATTTGGGACCAACATTCTCCCTAAGCTGCAGGTCTGTTCAGGCACACGGCGCTGCACTGGTACCACACAGCTAAGCCAATGTTGCCACCCATTTGCTTCCTGCCCATCGCTAGAGGAAAATCAGAGGTAACATTGTCTGGAACTCTATGTAATATATTAGAGAGATTACCAAGACAATGCGAGTCTCATAAAATCACTTTACACAAATGAGCACATTTGTCCATTTCAGCCCAACGATGCCTCGTTTGAGCAGCAATAGCAGTTAACATGATAAACACAGAGGTCTCTCCTTGTCTTAATATCCAAAAATCCTTTTTGACTGGAGATGCCAAGCACTGAATAGAGACCTTCTGCTTACAAAATGTGGACTCTATTGCTATTATTTTACATTAAGCATTGCACTGTAAGAAAATGATGAACTTGCCCACAGGTCAAAAAAACTTTTATTCTGCCTGCATTTGCTAGCAAACAGATTATCTTTATGGATTATGTTGGCAATCCTCAGTCATCAAGAAAAAGCTGTTTTCACTCTGCAGAACCTAGAAAACCTATGCCTGTGCATGAACACCAACAACTTTCTCAGCACACAACAAGTCCACACCTCAACATGGACAGGAGTCTCAGTCCTTAAGCATTAAGAGCAGTTACCTCTTATTTAAAACAGAATGTAGCAATGTGGAAGAGGCTGCAACTATTTCACATGAGCTGGAGAAATTTAGTAGGGTAAAGCTTGACATTTTCAACCCTTGCATTTTGATGGCCCTGGAAAGCATCCTGACTGTTATTTTTGTGCCACTTACGTCTCATTTTCTGCTCCATTGGTCTTGTTTTTACGCTGCTTCTGTTCATTGGTTGCCGGAGGAACCTGCCCCATGGCAGGTGGCTTCCGCTTTGCTAACATTTTCCTTTGCCTTTCTATCTCTTCCCTTTGGGAATTTATCCTCTCCTGCTGCCTAAACAAAAGCAAGACATGGGGGCACAAACACCCAAGTTTAGAGAATATAATAATGAATACATCGGCAGGCATATTAAAATAAGTGATTTCTGGTTGCATCAGCTAATCAATACAATTGACCATTCTCATGTGAATGGGTACTGAATTCAGCTTCTAAGAAACCTCTGGGTCTCAGCTTTTAATTAAAAAAGCAAGTATCTAGTTGTCACAGCTGCAGGGAAAGACTGAAGAATCTCCAGGTAGGTATTCAAGCTATCAGAAGACACTAAGATCACTCTAATCACTTCTGCATCATTTCTAGCACTGGGTTCAATAGTCATACTTGGACTGGAGCTCTTGGAATCAATGGGACTTAAGGCTTTAATGACTACTTTGTCTCACTGGTTTCAATGGGTCTGCTCCAAGTATGAGAAAATTTAGAGTCAATTTCATATCCTGATTCACTCAAATTTCCTCCTACATCTTTAATATGGGTTGCAATCTTTAAGAAACATAGGTTCCCTGATATAAGCTGCCAAGTCACATTTAAGGAAACAAAAATAGAACCCAAGCTTTCACAAATATGCCAGCTACACAAATCAGGAAAATTAAGTAAATGTTTACTAATGTGTAAGCAAGTCCAAGAACCAACTGGCTGGTCTGGACACGGGTCATGCCGGCCGATAAAAATTCCTAAAAATAAAATGAAAGGAACTTTCACAATTTCAGATTGTGCCTCCATCCATAACATTAAAGCTCCTTATAAGATTTTGATTTCTAGCAGCAGAATTAAGGAAAATTTTTTGTTTCAGATTCTTCTATTACACGTTCATATAAGTTATGCAAAATTACAAACCCAAATTAATCTTGGAAACATTAAATTCAGCCCATTCTTATGATCATAACACACAATGTACACCTTAATTCAGACATGTAAGGCAAGCAAGACGGGACAATGCCTTAGTTGAAGTGTAGTCCTGGTTACTATGAAGGTTTCCTTATGATACCATGGAACAGCAAGAGTCAGTCTTCCTAAGGGAGTGGCCAGAATGCTATTGCTTAGTTCTGCTAGCATAGATGCAATGGTGTGAACTGCAGCAGCAAATTGCTGTTAGTTAATGATTTGGCACTTGTATCCCTCACTGCACACCAACTCATGCAACAGGCTTATGAGAGACACAAGCAGCGACTTGTTAATTAGTAGCAATTTGCCACTGTATTTATGCCAGTCTAAATATACAACAGGATTCTGACCAGTGTAGGACATCTAGTGGCTGCCTGTAAATATCAGAGTTACTTTTACTATGATTTAAAAATATGCGTTGCACTCATACCTTCACAGCTGATGCCTTTATATAGCCAATGTTCTTTTGGTATTTTGTAAAATATGTCACTATTCTAGAGCCCACAGGAACAGTATTGTTAAAATGTAGACTTTTAACACAGACAGGGACCTTAGCCTCGTGTAGTCACAAAATGAACAAGTCAAGTAACAGCCACTGATCTTTTTTTTTAACTTCCCCCTCCAGAGATGGCAGAAAGGGCACTTACTTGATAAGATTCTGGAAGGCATAGCCATCTGTCCACTGCTCAGTGTAAGAGGCTCCATGCCGGACTGTTGCAAAGTGACCCAACCGTAGTCGATCCTGCATACTTTTATCTCGGCATGCCATCTTTTCCTGCTTTGACTGGAGAAGAAAGCATAGATGTGTCAAGATTTTCGGTGGCAACTCACCACATTGCTAGCTAGCCAGTGAAGAGAGAGCAGTGCTTAAGAGCCTGACAATTCTAAATTTCCATGAAGAATTTAGGCTGCCATGTGCACAAGGGCAACTTCAGTCAAGTCACTGACATGCAGCTTAAGAGCCACTTCTCCTCAAAGGAGTAAAGAGCGCCCACACCTACAAATCCAAGCCACGCTCATGTATATTCACGAACAAGTTGGAGAGGGAAAGAGACTAAAGATGACCATAAAACCTAGTAAGATTTATAGCCTGCTGAGCACAATTCAAGACTGTGTTTATAGGTCAAAGGTGCTATACATTTTGTTTTTATTTTTCTCCTGCAAGTCTTATGGGAGATCACCAGGGGTTCTGTCCAAAATAAATAAATAACTTTTTTAAAAAATCCAATTCTTGACTGCAAGAAAAAAAATCTTAATGTTTTATTGTTATGATTTTATACATTTCTTTGTTACATTTATATCATGGCTTTCAGTCAATGGCCCAAAAGAAGTGTACATGGATTTCCTCTTCTACACCATCTTACCCTCTCAACTATCCTGTAAATTAAGTGAGGCTGGAGAGAGTGACTGAAATAAACTCAAAATGTTCATCAAAAATGTAAAACATTACTTGACTGACACAGGACTTATTGATCTCTAAGTGAAACTAAAATCAAGTTTCCTAAATGATCAACTCAAACAATTAGGTTTACGTAGATTATATTAATCAGATAAAGTCTATCTGATTGCCCCATACTTTTTGGTCTGTTTCCCCCCCCCCATTAAACACTGTTATCAGTTCCCAAGTATGCAAGTTGTGAAACGATACAAGTTCAAGCAACTAGATGAGTGGACATATCTGAAAGAATAGGAACAGAGGAGAACAAGAGAAGAGCAGGAGAGTATCAGGACACAATTGGAAACCCAGACTCACCTTTTCTATAAGGAGCTTCTTGCTCATTGTCACACATCTATTCAACCGTTCCTTGTACTTTTCAAGCATTTTTTGTTGTTCGTCTATCTGTCGCCTTAAGTCACAGTTTGCCTAAAGACAAAGTGATGCTAAGTAGCTGAACAAAATATATCCCTGCCAATTCTGTCATGTTTAAATCCACTGCTCACAGGCATGTTATATAGCCACGGAAGGAGGCTGATAGGCCAAAACTCGTGGGGCATTTTAAACTGATATAAAGAACATTATATTTTCTACATCCTGGGATCACAGTTCCTCCCTTTTCTGCCCTAGATTTCACTGGATGTACCCGTTCCTTTTGTTATTTTCAGGCATGTGAAGGGAACAGTTGAAAATGCCAGTTATCAAGGCAGCCAGTTTAGATTAACTAAGCCACCTCCTGAATCTTTTATCATTCAGGTTCAGCATATAACTTCAGGTTGTAATGTTGTTAAAATGTTGGGCTACAAAGGAATTCTCACATTTTTAATTGTTGAAATCATGAGAAAAGTAAACCTTTCATGGAGCAACCTTCTGTGGACCAGTTTTTTTTTAAGGTAATGTAAGACTCCATTGTTTTCCTGTGCCAGTCCAGATTTTCAGATTCAATTAGAATGGGTTGGGAGGCTGCAAATTATCTGAATAACTGAGAAGAGAGGATCTCCTTCCACATCTGGAATATCAAAAAAAGAGATCCTTCAAATGAACCTGCAAGGTCCCATACCTATCTCTCATGGAAAAAGGGTAATTTCCTTCTTAACAGGATCCTTGCTTCCAGAACAATGTAACCCTGTCCCCAGCTGTTTGTATTTACAGCTTAGATATGCCCTCACTTCGAAAACTGAGGAACATGGACTTGGGCAGAATTAGTAAGTGTGACTACTTACTCTTAACAAGTCATCTATCCTGCCTTCTTTCTTCTCCAGATCAGAATTCTTACTGTTTTCTAGTGCAGATATTTTCTCCGCTGTAAGATCAGACTGTAATGTGTGAGAAAAAGATAAAGAGATCACAAACTAAAAAATGTTATTTGAAAGTTTAAAAAATATTTCTGAGACAGAAAAGTCTGTGAAATATCAACCTTCCACCAGCTAATATCATGAAAGGCATCACCAATGCTTAGACAAGCGAGTTTAAAACAAAGCATGAGTTCTCCCCAGGACTGTAACAAAATCCTTTTCCAACTCTTAGAGCACCCCAAGCGTAACAAAATCATCATTTTATATGTGTCTTGCTTCAGGGATGCTCAGCATCAGTTGTAATGTTGATAATTACATGAGCTCCCATAAATATAAGTTTTCCTTTGGGTAGGGGACAGCTCTGTCTGTGCACTCCATTTTAAATAAAGGGGAAGGGCTTGGCCCAGCAGATATGCACTGAGTACCTATTTTACAGAAGGGAGCCGAGGAAAGCATTTTCACACCCAAAGCAAAGATGACCTTAATTACTAACAAGTGGTTCTTATTTAGTTAAAATACAGAGATGGGAAGGAGACATAGCTTCAGCAATGGAATTTGCTGCCCGAAGCAGACTGTTCCATTTCACTTCAACAAGGCTGTCCTCAAGGCCAAACAAGTTGGATCTTACTTCTGGCTCTGTTATCTACCAGCCCTGCCTTCCATTTCTTCCTCAATTAAATGACACATATAATTCAAATCAGACGCGATCCAGGCATTCTATTACAGTGTTCATGTGCTTAATACCTGTGTCTGTTTATGTTGGACGGAAACCTGTTTTTGGGAGGTGCAGGAATGCTCTGTGTTCCCTGAACCTGTTGAAGAAGGACTACCTTGCTGGGCCTGCAATAAAAAGAATAAATAGTATGTGGGCTGCAAATTAACAGAGTGGTAAAACATTATGCTAGCTCAAAAACAGTGATAAAAGATGGCTCCCTTATCAGCAGCACACAACAATATCATAGTGTCACATATAGCTCTGTTATCATGGACACACTATAAAACAATACAGAAAAACAATTTAGAGCTATTAACACTCAAACCCATGTTTCATTCTCTTACTAATATTTCACTTTCATATTGTTAGAACAAGTGAAACTTTTTGAGTTATTTCAACATTGGCCAACATCCTGTTGCTTAATGTAATAATTTGCACTAGAGGTGGTCCACTGAATCAATGGGGATTTAGTGAGTCAACTCCTCTGTAAGCTCCGTTGATTCAAATGGACCCACTCTGTGGCATACTATACTAAAGTAAGTTACAGTTAGAGTAGGTCCATTCCAATCAATGGAGCTTGCAGAGCAGCTCAATCACCAAATCTCCATTGACTTAGTGGGCCTACTGCAGTGCAACTTTATGACACTAAGCAACAGGATCTGGGCCACTATCACACATAAAAAGGAAAAGTCAACCATTAACAATTTAAAACTCAAAAACCATGCCTCAGATACCACAGCAAAATATTTTACCAAAAAACAAAACAAAAAGAAATCCCCAAAAACCACTGTAACCCATAAACAGAATACTAGAGAATTTTCCCTGTTTCAGTGAATCAGTCTTATACGCAAGTTTCCACCCATCAACTAAATTAAAGGGTATTAGATGTGCTGGATAAAATACAAGTAAAGACTTGAATGCCAGATTGATCCTCCAAAAACCAACCCAAATAGAACAAAATAGAGTAAAATAAATCAAAACGAAGAAAAACAGAAGAAAACTCTCTAGTCACTAATAACAAATAATGGCTGCGGCTAAAGGGATTACTTGAACGTTTTTTAATCTGTAAAAAGACTGGTGGATTTATTGATGACCAAATGATAAGCATTCCCTGGCATTAAAAAAAAAAAGAAATATTTTGGCTAGAATTCAGCTCTCCCAAAGGAAAGCCGCATTTTTGTTTGGTTAGTATTTGTCTCATAAAAATTGTATTTCTTTCTTTTAAAATGTTTGGTGTATGTATTATAGCAATTTGAAAGTGAAAGCAGTATCTTTACATTTTAAGTTGCTGTGGGTTTGTCTTTTTTATGAGCCATTTTGGATCCTTTTAAGGCGAAAAGCAAGGTAAAAATATTTTAAATTAATAAATAATAAATATAAAAAGGTATTCAACTGACACAAATTTGTATAGTTAAAACAACAATATGAAAAAATATGAATAATGAAAAACACACAGGATCCATTAAAAATAAACTATGGCACATTTTGGGACTTCATCTCTATTTTTAGGTTGTGCCTCTGTCTTTATTTTTTGTTCCTGTAAACCATTATGCTAAAGAAACTTGCTACTGTTACATTGGGATAAAGAACACTTGTATGGTCTCACTGAGTACTGTCTGCCCTGGCAGGCAAGATGTTTGCACAGTTCTCCAGCATGTCCCAGGTGGCAGCCTTTCCTACCCTGTTTCCTTGAAAATAAGACCTAACCTGAAAATAAGCCCTAGTATGATTTTTCAGGATGTTCGTAATATAAGCCCTAACCCAAAAATAAGCCCCAGTTAAGTGAAACCCTGCTCCCCACCGTTGTGCAGCAACCAGAAGATGACATGACCATATCTGAATAAATGTAGATTGTTGTACATGAAAAAAATAAAACATCCCCTGAAAGTAAGCCCTAATGTGTTTTGGAGCAAAAATTAATATAAGACCCTGTCTTATTTTCAGGGAAACATGGTAGTTCTATTCCCAAACAGAAATGAACAAAAAGATAAAAAGGATAACACTCGGACTTCCCTGTAAAAAGCACACACTTTCCTCAACACCAGGCAGTTGTAAATTCTCATTGAGAAGAGGGATTATTAGTGTATCCATCTCCTCATGTTCAGAGTTAAAATAATGTAAATTGTGTCAGAGATTATTTTCAAAGAAAGAGCTCAACAGTTTTTAAGAAACGAAACCATCCACAAAACTTCTATATGTTCAGCAAATCAGGGACACAAATGTTTGGTTGTTGACATTAACCTTTAAAATGGAATGTGTTATAAAATTATTTAACACATTTTTATTCTGTCACATTTCTCTGTACCCCCTTCCCATGAATGCATGTCAGAGTGGGATTTTACAAAGCATTACAAAAGAGAAGTGGGTGGGTGCTTCATTCGGGGTACACATTTGAAGTTGAAACTTTGTATTTCTAAATAAGACTAAGCTGACCCCATGGTCCCAAGATGGACATTCCACTTCGTGCTTCACAGAGGGAAACTGTTCTGCCTCCTCTTCCAAGCTAAGTAGGGGAGCCTACGCCTTATTAGGAGCAAAGAGGTATAGTGGAAGATTTATCACCCCAATGCTATTTTGCACACCACAGTTCCACCTAACTTTATCCACCTGCAGTTTCACAAACATCATGAACCACTGTTGCTTAAAGCACACACACACGTTTTGCTTCTGTGATCTCATCCTGAAACTGAAACTTTTAAACAATAGGAAAAAATTAGTACGAATCTTGGGAATTGTGAGGATTTGAAAAGCCACAGTTATGTGACCTGCTATTTATGTTAATGTAGATCATCACTATATTTATGTTAATGTAGATCATCAATACTTGAAATGGAAAGTTAATTTCATCAACATGCAGGTGTGGAAGAGATGCCAAGACAGAAATATGGAGGGACAAGGGGGGGGAGGCTGGGATTAACATGAAAAAAAAAAAGTATGTCAGGGTAGGATAAATGAAAGCTGGCTGAGAAGTAGAGACCTCAGGGGAAAAAAATTCCAAAACAGCTTCCTTTATTCTAACCCGTCATATTTGTTGTCATATGTTTAACAGCTGCAACCACTAAAGACTACAACATTAAGAAACAAAGGAAACAGATTCCATTAAGGGGACCACATAAATGTGGAAGGGTGGGGTTTTGCATATAGTCCACCTATGTCAGGCATATTCAGTCCCCCTTGAGTTTGGTCATTAAGACCGTGCTCACCGAAGCAAACGGAAAACAGAGGCTTGTACCCCTCTGAGCCAGCTGCTCGCCCTCTAGCCGCTGTTTCGCTAGCATCGCCGACACCAGAGTTGGCAGAGCAGAGTGCTCCTCCGGCAGTTCCTTGGCTGCGCTGCTGTCTACCCCATAAAGCGGCTGCTCCATTCGCCGCTGCAATACATTTAAAGAAAATGTAAGATATTTCAAAGGAAAAAAAGAGAGAAGTTTGAGTGGGAAAGATAATAAAACTTGAGTCATGCATTGGTCAAGACAGCAGCTCCAAAAAAAGCTAGAAGCACTGGATTGGAACAGAGAAGGTAGCGATCAAACATAGCCTTATCGCTACTAAAGAGCTCTTTACTTTTGAAAATAAATGAAAAGAACAGTTGCAATACTTCTGATATTGGAATGTACAGTACTGCATTTTACTACAGCTTCTACTATAGCCACAAACGAGATTCGCCAAGTAAAGAGTTCTACTGTCACATTGATTCTATGGGCAGCCTCTTGAGTGTTCAACTGGAACCTCTTGAGCAGCAGAAATTTGCTTCATACTATGAGACAACCCTTAGGCATTAGTAGACTGTTATCGAGAGGTAATCTACCACCTTGTCTGACCCATTGTTCTCTTCTTCAGGCTAAATGCACATGCAAGAACCAAAAAGGAGTATTACAAAACACTGGAAGTTCAAAAATGGCAAGCTACAATTTTCATTATTGGGCCTGATACAAACTTGTGACATTGATTATCTTTCCGATAGCATTTTTATACTGTTAAGGTACCTGCTCCACTCCAATTGGCTATCACATACCATTAGCACCTCTGGCCTCAATACAGAACCTAAGGAACTCTGAGACTTGCCATTGTTGATGCAGAAATGGCTCAACAACAAATCCTGCTCCTGATCTAATTCTCAACTGAGAAGCTCCCTTCTTCCTCTTTTCAGAGGAAGGTCAAAGCCAGAAGCACACTGCTTACACTACTGTTTGTTCTGTTCTAGCACTGCTCATGACTGGTTCCGGCTACTCTTCCTATATTGAAAACATAATATACCAAAACATGTCCACATAAATATCTCCAAGCATGAGCTACATTTTCAACTCAAAGCAACAGATCCACAGCCCAAACGAGGACCCCTGGATATGGTGAAATATTTCTGTGTGCAGACTGGCTTGGTGAGAATGGAGCATTGGAAAACTTACAGTGGTGCCTCGCTTAGCAATTGCCTCGTTAACAATGTATTCGCTTAGTGATGAGGTTTTTGGAGCGATTTTGCACTCCGTTTAGCGATGTTTCCTATGGGGAAATTTCACATAGCGATGTTCGGGACCTTGCCTCGCTTAGCGATGACAGTTTAGGTCCCCCTTTTTTGCTTAGCGATGTCCATTTTCACTATTTTAAGTGTGTCTTAAAATGTTCAAAAACTTTTAAATGCTTGGGATCATTAGTGCACCTTGTAAAACCTTTGCAAACTTAATTTGGCTTTGTTCTGACTCTTCATTAATTTTTGGTGAATTGCCCCCCCATTGGAATGCATTGAACTGTAGGTTTGACAGCTGGCAGTTATAAGAATGAGATCTTGACCAAGGAAAGTGGAATGGAGTCAAGTCCTTTTACTAAGGCAAGGCAAGGGAAGAACAAAGCCCTTCAAGAGCCTAGTTATTATCAGTCAAATTAAAACATGTGAACTCTGCCTTTCCTGAGAGACAACAGGACTTAACCCACTCTGGGATGTTTCCTTCACCACAGAGAAATGTTTCATACAATGTAGATGTGCAGCTTGAGGCAATGATGCATAAGACTCCTCAATTTTTCTGTTTGACTAAACTGTAAACATATTTCCTGGTTTTGGTTACATGAACAATGCTTTGGAGCAATCTGAAAGAATGTATGCAGATCTGTCGACATGCACACATATTTGCCTTAACAACAAGGGCACAGATATGTTAGAGAAATTACAGTTAGCCTCTCAGTTAACTGCTTGCCCTGGGATGACCTTCTAGCTCCATTAACCTTAAATAAATCAGCATTTGTCAATCTCAAGCATCTATTTATACAGCAATATGTGCCAGCAACAATGGCACTGAGTAAAAATCTTGGAATTTCAAGGACACAAGAGCAGGAGTTCTAAAATGCTAAAAAGGCCTATCCAGGCAGACAGCCTTCAAGATGCAGTCATAGTGGCTTCAACAATATTGTAACCAAACCTCACACCTCTAGAATTATAGTTCCACCATATCTTGTTAATATGAGCTAACTCTTTTGCACTCGAGGTAAAGGTTCCCCTTGACAAATGTCAAGTTGTGTCTGACTCTAGGGGGCGGCGCTCATCCCCGTTTCCAAGCCGCAGAGCCAGCGTTTGTCTGTAGACAGTTTCCGTGGTCACGTGGCCAGCGCAACTAGACACAGAACGCTGGTACCTTCCCACCATAGTGGTACCTATTTATCTACTTGCATTTGCAAGCTTTCAAACTGCTAGGTTGTCAGGAGCTGGGACAAGCGATGGGCGCTCACTCTGTCGCATGGATTCGATCTTACGACTGCTGGTCTTTTGACCTTGCAGCACAGAGGCTTCTGCGGTTTAACCCGCAGCACCACCAGATCCCTCTCTTTTGCACACTAGCTGCCATCTAATGTGGCACATACAGGTTCTGTACCACAGAGCACAAAACCAAGTAAGACAGGCAAAAGCAGCAGGGAATAACAATCACAGGGGAATGATGGGGAGGTTCGCATTCAGATTTCATCACCCTTGTCCTGGAAGACCTGCAGTGCCTCCTTCCACGTCATATGAACCACTGTCTATATGTCTGTAAGCATTGTTTAAAATTAAGAACTCCAGAAATGTGCTTTCAACAGTAAAATCTTGTCTTCATCAGTAACTCTAGAGGAGATTTCATCACACAGAGAGGTCACACACTGTTTCTTCAAGTAATTACTTACAGGTAAGGGATTTGATAAGGAATGCTGTGGTGATGATCGTGCAACCGGTGGCACACTTCTGCCAGGACTCGTTCCTGGCCCACTTCCTCCAGCAAACTAAAACAAGGGGCCGGGAGACAAAAAAAGTAAGCAAGTAACTTCTGAATAAACATATATGTGGAGATTGTGTGTGAAGAAATATTTACGTGAGAAATTGGTTTACCTCAAAATAATCACTAATTTTATGTCCTCTTGGAGTGACTTTGCCTGAAAGAAAAACAGCAGTGTCATCAATGAGGTAGCCTTAAGCTTTCAAAATCATATTGAAAATACTACTAATCTTCACAAACAAATTATTTTAGCTAATATTGCCTGGGTTTTGAGGTAGGAAGGAAATGGAATAGTATGATGATGGGTATGCCATTTCATTTTAAAAGAATTTTACATCTCTGAGAGCCATGTACTCTAGCATTCCTTTACCAAGTACATAGTTATGAGGAAAGTGGATTCTACATGGGTAGCTGACTCCTTTAGTGAAATTTGTTTGTGTATATCCACTGGAAACAGTAGTAGCATTTCTGAAGGACTCAATTTCCATACTTTGATATATACCTGAACGATGGCGCTCAAGGAGAGAGCTACTGGCTTGGTAGGAGTAAACATCAATATCATCTGTGTTATCTCTGGAAGCAGACTTACTTCACAGATGGCCCCTAAGAGACCAGATGTGAGGAGTCTGCTCTCACAGGCAGACCACTCTTAGGTGGTCTGTAAAGCATGTCGAGAGGGACACATGGCATGAGTAAGAAGAGAAAGTAGCACCAGAAACACAATCGAAAGAATAATGTGGAGGTAGTCACTGATAAGGGAAGAACTCAAAGGTGGATGAGGTAGGCATAAGATATGTGCCTAGATACAGAACAATAATGGTGGAACCAAAGAGAAGCTACTTCAGAAACACTTCACTTTTCTGAAATACATTGGTTCTGATACATGTTTAAGGACCACTAGTGTTTTAGTGACTAAATTATCATTAAAATCCTATTATGATAGATTTCCAATTTTTCCACATGGCTATACTGCTAAATCAAGAAAGCCATGCCCAACTATGATATGTATGTACAGAGAAAGAGATGTGAATAAACCTGCTGCAAGGTTAAAAATAGTTTTCATATAATGGGGACCTTGATTTGTCCCTAAGGGAAACAGCATTGATGAAGAGCTAGATCTTAACAAGTTGCCCAACATACCCTAGAGGGAGGCACATAATCTTAGATAACAAGAGAATTATCTAACAACTAGACTCATTACAAGTTGTTTGGAGATCCTAATTAGAGGGGCCTACCTTGATTCGTGTCAAAGCCTTCTGATTTCCTCTTCCTGTTGCGCTGGTCATTCTGTTTTTTTTCAGGAGTCTTAAGGGGGAAAAGGAGAAAAATCCCAAATCAATTTCTGCTATCATCCCAGAATGTAAGAACACAAAAATATTCAAAAGATTATGATGACTGCTGCTCCTCACAAGCTTTTCTATTTTATAAACAAGAGGGCATTTTCATTATTGGTGCTTTTAATCAGCAGCCATCAAGTTCCCATTAAAACCAAGTGTTCAGACAGAAAAAAATCAACTACATTTTGTCAAGTCTGCAGCAATGCACTAAGTGCTCAGATTACTTCTTTTCAAGTCTCTGAAAATTATATGGTATACAACTGCTTTTTTTAATTGCTGAGTTATTTGCTGCAATGGGCAATTAAAGAGGACGAAATACTGCTTATTTTCCCCCTTCTGAAATAGATCCATGCACTTGTTTTCACCTTGGTGACAGCTACAATGCAATAGTCTTCCTGCTTACACTTTGTATTTTAGACAACATTAAAAACAAGGTTATCACATGGAAGTACAGGGAAGGTAAGCAGCTTTTCATGTGACAGTCAACACATAAACTGGTTGTCCTACTCCACTTAGACACAACCAACATCCTGAGGCAGGAAATGTCTTTCTCTACCACTGTACCTGTCTGCACTCCTCTGGTTTTAGAAAACAGGTTGAGCATCGGGTTGTCTAGGAAACATAAGGCTCAATTACCTCCAACTCTTTGTCACTTAGAGAGCCCACGCTGCACAAACTTTGATTGGAAGATTCACTGTTCAAGGGACCCTGGTGCAGGGGGATGAGAAGAATCAACAAATCATATATTTTTAACAGAAAATGCGTATTAAAATGTATCAGAGGGTGACGGTGACTCACAACTAACACAAACTAAACATTTATGCAGCCTTCTAATGTCCCTTTTCAGTACAATGTCCAGTCTGAAAGCCAGAAAAGCAAGTAATCATCTTCCTCTGTGGTCCATTTGCAAGAATCTCAATTTGAATGCAAAATAAAACAGCATCAGTAAATTTTGTTATTGCTAATTAGCATCTTGTTTATTTACATATTCTTTGTGCAGAGTTCCTAATCAATCTCCTCTCTTGGTATAGCATACAAACTGACCAGACAGAATTTCCAGGATTATCTATGAACTAATTCACAACTTCAAGTTCAGGAAAACATACATGATATATTTATGTCATTTACAATCAGACATGCAAGATAGCTGTACACTTGTATTGTTTTTGTACAATGTTCTTTGGTTCATAGGATATATGGTTTATCTGACACCAAGCAGACAGGAAGAGGGAAAGGATGCATGCATATCCTATTTGGGCTGAAGATACGGAATTCTCCATCTTACATGGATGCAACAGTTCCAAAAAAAGACGTGCCTGCATCTCATATTGAAAACAAAAGTTTGGAACACCAGCTGTACTCTTATAGATGTACTGTGATTCTTCCTATCCATACATACAGAACTAGACAAACAGGCCAGGCAGCTTGAATGTATTAAATATTTTTATACACTTTCAAAATTGCAGGACAACATAATAAGCAAAGATGCCTACTTTGACCTCAAATCATTCAGCTACAATCCACTTCTTTAAACTTTACGCAAGAGCTCCCAAATCTGTATGTGAGTTTTTTTAAACGCTTCTGCAAACAATAGGCCCTGCTTACATTACAAATCCAGTCTTTTCTAAGTTTGCATGGTCTACATTCAATTGTTGGTCTCAACCACAGTAGAAACATTGAAATACCGTAATAAGAACTTAGTAAATCAACAATTATATAAGTTCCATTTATTCAGTGGGCCTACTCTAGCTGGGACTAGGAGTTGGATTTAGGCAAAGACTTTTTGTGACATAGCAAGAGAGATTCTGTTCAAAAAAGAAAAATATCCAACAGCATGTTTACATCTAGCCACACAGCTGCCTAGATCACAAAGATTCCAGTTCAGAGCTTAAACTAGTACCAGTCCTCAAGATATTGCTAAACTATAGCTTCCATCATTACTAAGCTCCCACACTGTCATTACTATATTTTCTCAGATTCCTGAAATTAAAAATCTTTTTGCCCAACACAAAATGAATGTAAATGATGATGATGTTGTCCTCTTAAAACATGTATTTTTGGGGGGAGATGAATGCAATCTTATTAGCATCTGAGGACTAAAGTACTGCCCCCACCTACTTATTTACCTTTTAATTTTATTTTATAATTTAATTTATATACCATTTTATTAGTGCTAAAACACTATTCTGGGTGGTTTGACAGCAGGTTAAAACTAACTTTAAAACACTCAAAGTATAAAAACCCGATGGCACCAAAACAACTTACAAAAGCAGCAGGACAAGGAGATTAACAAAATATCAACCTGGATCAGCAAGAAAAGCCTCCCTAAAAAGAAAAGTCTGAAGGTTTTGTTTTAAAAAAAGAAATACTATACACCTGTAAGATATGAAACAACTGATGTCTGGAACGAAGACAAATTTTGGAAAGTAATACTTATATTGTACATGTATACCATTCCTTTTCATTCTCATTAATGGGCTGATGTGCAATGGAGTTGTAACCTTTAATTCTCATTTACTGCAGCCACTGATAACACACAAACATTCAGAAATATGCAGTACCTTCTTTATTTTCAGACAGTTAGCAACTGATAAAGGCACTGTTGGAACTAGGCTATTACCAGGATATTCATCATGTTTGGGCATTTCAGCCTATACTACCGCATGTGCATTCATGCATTCTGTATCATTTTTGTGTTGTCAAGATATACACTGGAGTATTCTGATGACTGGTCAGGCATACTATACTAATCACTATACACTAGATGTTTTCATATTAAAAAAATATGTTTTAGTCAGAGATATGGGCTGCAAAGTTTTCTAGACTGATACATTTTGATGGAAAATTTTCTATACCACACGTTTGAGTCTATCCACAGTTGTTTGGGGTACTGTACTGTAATCAGTCATGTAAAATGGGCTAAATATCAGATATGCACTCGTAAGTTATTCTCCCAAGAAAAGCACTGACTCACCCTAACACTCAGTTACCCCTAGAAGAGCTGGAAAATATGACATGACAACAACTTCCCATGCACAGTGCAGTTGCATCCTGGCTGGGTCTTGACCAGACTCTTCCATGGAGACTCTACTGCTAACACTTTTAAGTAACAAAACGACGATGCTAACCAGATAACACTATTTCAAGCAGTTCAGTTTTTCTACTTTTCTGGGAAACCTACCTCTCAGATTTCGATAATCTTTTGCACACCGCTATCTGCATCTAGCAATTCTTTATACATTGCATTACTGCCGATGCCGTTTATCTGGTAGATCTCCAAGCCTTTTAAATACAACTTTCTCTACTAGTTGAAAACAGTTTCTGTCATTTTTTTAAAAATACAAAAGCAAGTATTCCCAGAATACCCTTGCAGTGTTTTTTGTTTTTGGAATATTCAGCTATTACAACAATCTGACTAAGATGGAACTTGCTAACTCATCAATCTCACAAGCATAATAGGGACTGGGGATAAAAGTGAAGAAATTACAAAGACCAAAAGAAATGCAGATTAGGTTAATATAGGAAATTCTGCATGAGAACAAATATACAGCAAAGAGACAGTTGAGAAAGAAGGAGATGCACAATGCCCATTGCTCTTTTGACATTTGGAATAACGATATAAAAAACACAATGTTTCATATCAAAAGTTGTATCTGTGCCAAACTGCATTACCTACAGTATATATGCACTGTGTGCCATCAATTCTGACTTATGGCAACCTTTTCTAGGATTTTTGGGATAGAGAATACAGTGTACAGAAGTGGCCTACCATTCCATTCTTCAGGGGGCATATGGGACTGTGCAGTTTGCCCATGACTACACGGGCTGGCTTTTCTCCTGTGAGGCACAGTGGGAAGTCGAACTCACAACCACTGGTTCCACAGCCAGACATCTAAACCACTGAACTATTCAGCCTGTTTGCATTACGTATACAACTACATTTACTGTGAATGACTATCATATGCAATATAAACTGCAACTATCATAAAAACAACGAAAAGCATACTTGTTCCCAAACAATTATTATAACAAATTTATATTGGGGTGGCCAATTTGAGCTCTTAACTTCTTTTTTATTCTTTCTTTTTTAAGTGCCAAAATCAAAATGCTTTACTTGCCTTTAAAATCATTAATTCAAAAGAGAACATACATACAAAACAGGGACTCTGGATATAAGATTGTGTGTCCCTTGCGCTGAGAAAAAGCATTTCTGCTCCCAAAGAATGAGCTGAAGCTAGCTTCCATTAATTCCAGGTACAGTACGCTCAACTTCGCCCCATATAACACATCACATACTGTTCTTGAGGGTCCACAACTCCCCTAAGCAGCTTGGGGCAAGAGAGATACCGTCATGGCCAAGAATATTGGCACCCTTGAAATTCTGTCAGAAAATGCAACTCTTCTCTCAGAAAATTGTTGCAGTTGCAAATGTCTTGGTACTCACACGTTCATTTCTTTGGTTTGCGTTGGAACACCACAAAAAAAGAAGAAAAGTCAAATCTGATACAATTCCACACAGAAACCCAAAAATGCACTGGCCAAAATTATTGGCACCCTGTCTAAATTGTACGAAATAATTGCTTGTCAAGCATGTGATGCTCTTTTAATTTGTATTGAGACACACCTGTTGCAAGTAAGAGGTGTGGGCAATATAATAATCATACTTGTAACTACAGTGGTGTCCCGCATAATGACAATAATCCGTTCCAGAAAAATCGTCGCTATACGGAGTCGTCGCTATGCGGAACAAAAAAGCCCATAGGAATGCATTAAAACCCGTTTAATGCGTTCCTATGGGCAAAAAACTCACCGTTATGCGAAGATCCTCCATCTGGCCGCCATTTTCGCTGCCCAGTAAGCGAGGAATGGGCGCGAAAACACAGCGGGCGGCCATTTTTTTACCCAACGGCCATTTTGGAACCGCCGATCAGCTGTTAGCAAAAACATCGCTATGCGAAAATCAGTAAGCGAAACAGCTTACCAATCATCGCAAAGCGATTTTTCGCTATTTAAAACATCGCAATGCGATCGCTTTTGCAATCGCAAAAACTCAATCGCTATGCGGATTCGTCGTTAAACGAAGCGCTTGTTATGCGGGGCACCACTGTAGTTAAGATGGAGAAAAGTTGACTCAACCTTTGTGTTGTGTGTGACACTGAGCATGGAGAAAAGAATGAGGTGTAAAGAGTTGACTGTGGATTTGAGAGAAAAAATTGTGGAAAACATAGAGAATCTAAAGGCTAAAAGTCCATCTCCAGAGATCTTAATGTTCCTATGTCCACTGTGCGCAATCATCAAGAGGTTTACAGCCCATGTCACTGTAGCTAACCTCCCTGGACGTGGACGGAAGAGCAAAATTACTGAAAAATTACAATGAAGGGTTGTTCGAATGGTGGATGCAGAACCCAGATTAATTTCCAAATAAATTCAAGCTGATCTGCAGACACAGGGTACAGCAGTGTCAGCTCGCACTATCTGTCGCCATCTGAATGAAAAGGGACACTATGGTAGGAGACCCAGGAGGACACCACTGCTGACACAAAGGCATTAAAAAGCAAGACTGGAGTTTGCCAAAACTTATGTGACAAAACCACAATCCCTCTGGGAGAACATGCTGTGGACAGATGAGACAAAAGTAGAGCTTTTTGGTAAAAGACATCATGGCACTGTTTACAGAAAAAGAAATGAGGCATTCAAAGAAAATAATACAGTCTCTACAGTCAAACATGTTGGAGGTTCCAAGATATTTTGGGGTTGCTTTGCTACTTCTGGCACTGGATGCCTTGACTGTGTGAACGGTCTCATGAAACCTGATAGACTGTGTGAACGGTATCATGAAACCTGATAATTACCAGAGAATTTGGGGGCACAATGTAGAGGCCAGTGTCAGAAAGCTGCGTCTCCACCAGAGATCACGAGTCTTCCAGCAGGACAATGACCCAAAACACACTCCAAAAAGCACTCAGAAATGGTTACAAAGTGCTGCAGATGGTTGTTGTGGGTTTTTCGGGCTCTTTGGCTGTGTTCTGAAGGTTGTTCTTCCTAACGTTTCACCAGTCTCTGAGGCTGGCATCTTCAGAGGACAGCACTCTGTGCTCATTTTATCCATCAAGCGCTGCAGAGTTCTGAAATGACCAGCAATGAGTCCAGATCTGAATCCCATAGAACACCTGTGGAGAGATCTCCAAACAGCAGTTGGGAAAAGGCATCCTTCAAATCTGAAGGCCCTGGAGCAGTTTACAAAAGAAGAGTGGTCCAAAATTTCACTAGAGAGGTGAAAGAAACTCATTCATGGTTACAGGAGGTGATTGATTTCAGTTATTTTTTTCCTAAGGAGGTGCTACCAAATATTAAGTTAAGGGTGTCAATCATTTTGACCAGTGCATTTTTAGGTTTCTGTGTGGAATTGTATCAGATTTGACTTTTCCTCTGTTTTTTTATGTTGTTCCAAACTAAAGAAATGAGCATGTGAGTACCAAGACATTTGCAACTGCAACAATTTTCTGAGAGAAGGGTTGCATTTTCTGACAGAATTTCAAGGGTGCCAATATTTTTGGCCATGACTGTAAGGCTCTGCAGCCCCAAGAGGTTAGGAATGCCCTTTTGTCACAAAGGAGACTTTGGATTCATGCTGGTCATGGCGTTGTTTTCCTAATTCAAGGAAGATTCTTATCATAAAACACAAACTAAGTGGGCCTTACTGGATTATTGCACAGTCAAGTGATAACAGGATGACAAGATTTAATGGAGCAAAACTAAGTATGCTAAATTTGGCTGCATATTAAAGCAAACTTAAAAACCAAAACAAGTAATAATGACTTCATATCAAATGTGGTCTATGACACATTCAAAAAAACAGGTTTTCATAGTACTCCAGATTACTATTAAGAAATACAGCAACTTGGCAAAACATATTTCCTGTTATCTATTTCAAGTGGGTTTTGAGTCTAGCTTTGGCATTTAAATTGCTTCTGTAAGCCTGTGGGAATATATGTGTTGGGAGCGAGACATGGGAGTTCAACCTTGTTGGCTCTTCTTGATCTCCTGGCTCTGTGAGATATCACTGACTCAGGTACATCTCTGGAGTAGTTGAGGCCACAATCTAACAACAGTCTTCCACTGACATTACAGCTGGATCCAGTGGAAACAGAAGAGTAAAAAACTGTTTTCCCACTACAGCCCCCTATGCAGCACCAAACCTGGCTTCACAGAATCATAAAATTCTCTGGAGCCTTTTTTTTTGGCACAGTGTGAAGAGCTGAAGTCAAGGAATGGGAAGAGAAGAAAATCTCATTATAATAATGAACAGTACTTTAGATTTAGGCCTGACCTCGATGTGCCCTAGGTTGCTTTACTTTCAGCTCTGCTAATACTAGTACGGTTGTGTCCAGATTCTGGTACTGAAGGATTTCTGCTTGATTCTGTGTCTGCCTTGTCATGGGATCCCACAACATTCCATCTTACCCATCATGGCATTTGATGGTGACATGGACCTGCAGAACAAGGTCATTCAGAGATCTGAAGTGTACTGCCATCAGCATATTGACAATGTGTAATCCACAGCTCTTCAGAACCAGGTGAGGCTACAAGCAAGGTACATTAATGCTTTTCTACTGCAGTGTACCAAAAGGAAACTCAGAGACTGAGGCTTAGTTTGAATAAGACAGAAAGGAGTGGGATTCAACTTATTTTGGAGTGGACAGGACTCTACCTGAAAGACCAGAAGACAGCTTAAGGATTCTTGGATTCATTGCTGTTTGTACATGTTTGATTGGTTACTACAGCACAATAGTAAGTACCCACTACCAGATTAGGCTGGTGTTTAATTATTATCCCATTTGGAAGCTGACAGCCTGGTTACTATGAATCTGGCAACCTTCTCTTTGATGAAACTTCTCTGAACACAATCATTCAACATGAAATTTCAATCCATGCAAAACATGGTGAGAGTTTTGACCAGGACAAGGTACCATGAACATCTTAAGTTGGTCCTGTCTTGCTTTTACCAAGTTTTGAGAACATTTCAAAGTCTTTCCTTGACAATAAGTCACAAGAAGGCTTGGGCCCTTACTTCCAAATGGTACAAAGGATTCCTCTGACACTTATTTTCTGCTATTATGTGCTTTCAAGTCACTTTCAAAACATGGAAGTTTTCAAGGTATGTGAGATATTCAAGGAGCGGTTTACCATTGCCACTCTAAGGCTCCACAGCCAAAGCAGAGATTTGAACCCAGGCTTCCTAGTCTGAAACAGTATCCACGTGACATGAGCTCTTAGCTTGTTCCTACTCAAGTTAATCTCTTATTCTAAAGTTGGGAAGGTTACTATTAGATTTTTTCAGTGGCCCTCACTATCGAATCCTCAAGCTCAAGTCCCTGTCTCCTCCACTATCACTTCTGTCTTGCTACAGATATATTGTCTGAAGATAGGTTAAGATTGCTGCATCCCTCCCAGAAATAAAACATGACAGATTATCCCTAGGGGTAGACGTGTGGATTTGTGTAGTAATATTGTTGTGCTCATGCTCACCTTTGCAACTCCTGCTCCAGTAAACCTGGCCTCCAACAGTTCCTGTCGTCGTGGGTCCAGGCTGTGCAATTCTTCCATCATATCTGCTAATAAAGCAATATGCCATAAGAAATTTGCCACTATACTGACAAAGTCTAAATATGAATTAGAAGCAATCAAACACAGAGATGCATAAAAGTACAATGTTGCCATTGCATAGTATTACTATCACTGTACTGTCTCTTTTGAGGAAGGACTTGAATTTCTAATAATAATCATGTGCCAGCAAGTCAATTCTGACTTATGGTGATCCTTTTCAGGGTTTTCTAGCTACAGAGTACTCAAAAATGGCTTATCAATTTCTTCTTCTGGGGATGCCTTGGGACTGTACAGTTTGCCCAAAGCTGCACAAGCTAGCTGTTCTCCATGGAGGCACAGAGGGAAATCAAACTCCCAACCTCTGGTTCTGCAGCCAAATATGTAACTCAATGAACTCTCCAGTATTTCTACATGTTACTTTTTCCTTGATTTGATATTCTGCAATTGCACAGAACACATACACCAATCATTCCCACAGTGCTTCAATTTCTTCTGTTTCTCACCCCAGCAAAACACTATGCAACAGCAATTCAAAACATTAATTTTAATACTACCAGAAGGGAACATAACTGCAAGATCACCAGGAAGAAAAAGAGTGATACAGTAAGAGGAAAATACATACAGCAGTACTACAGCTACTGCTGAGATTTGGAAATAACTTACTGCTTCTGAAAAAAGAAAAAGAAATTCCATTTGAAGCTAAGTTTATTTTGACACAAGAGTTAACATTCTCATTGCACCAACCTATAGCGGTGATTTCTTACTTGCAATGTTCTTTCGGGATGAAGAACCATATTATGTTCTTAGAGTACCTATGCTCTTACCTCAGTTTTCGTTTTCTGTTTTATTAGCAGCTATGCTTTTATTTTCTGTTCTGCTTTCTCTTACACAGCCCAAAGTCCATAAGAATTAGATAATACAGCCATTGGCTAAAATCCAGCAGTACGTTGCAACTAGAGTAGACCTACTGAATCAATAGTGTTGACTCACCAAATCCCGAGTCAATGAGCCTATTCTAGTTGTGACTTAGTATTGGATCTCAGCCACCGAATTACTGTATTTGGAGCAAACCAAAGAATGCTGAAGTACAAAATCTCAGCTAAAGAAGCCCTTAAAGATGGACAATCTAATCAGTAGCCAAAATCTCACTGTACAATTATGCCTATGGAAGGCAAAGAATGTAACTTAAAGTAGCTTCTCACAGGACATTAATAAGTTTCTGTTACTATGTGTGCCTTTCATGGTATAATTAAGCAACAAGATTTTGGCCTCTACTTAAAAAACTGTAGGTAAAGAAGAGTCTACTACCTCCTAAGGTCCATTCTACCGAACAGTTCTTGCTGTCTTGAAGTTCTTCCGTATATTGAGCAGAAATATTCTTTCCTCAACTCCTACTCTCACAACCTGCAGAAAACAAGCTTGCCCCAACTTCCGCATGACAGCCCTTCAACTATATGAAGATGGCTATCGCAACTTTAACAATCTAGCATTCTAAACATACCTAGCTCTCTCCATCCTTGCCACTACGGCTTTGTTTCAGACCCTTTATTATTCTGACCCCCCGCTATTCTGAACCTGTTCCAGCTAACCAATATCTTTCTTAATCTGTTTAGCCCAGAACTGGACCACTGTTCCTTAGAGCTGTATGACTCAAACAGAAGAAAATGATAGTATTACCTCCCTTCATCTGGACACTACATCTTTGTTGACTAGATATGCTTTCTTTGTGGTCAAATCGTATTGGTGACTCACATTTCACATGCAGTTTCCTAAGAGTTCAAGATCCTTTTCACAAGCACTACTGGATGTGTCATCCATCTCATATACATCTGATTCTTTCTGCCTAAATGTGAATTTCACATTTTTCCCTGTGGGAACTAATTTTGTTTGTTTTGGTGCAGTCTCCAATCTGATGAAGTTGTTTTGAATTCTGATTTTGTCTTCCTCCCAGTTTGGTACCATCTGCAAATCTGATGTGCATCAAATCTATTCATTCATCCAATTCATTTATAAAGATGTTGAACAGAATCCTCTGATATTCTACTTGTTACTTTTCACCAGGATGACGAGCAACCACTGGTGACCATTTTTTTGGCTACAAGGCTATCAATCAGCTATAAATCCAATTAAGAGCAGCACCATCTAGCACACATTGCACCAGTGTGGACACAGGAATATCACAGGATAAATTAGTTCAGTCCTGTAGGACCCACAACAACACTAAAAGGAAAAGGGATTTCATTATTTAAGCACTTTTTTGACCCCAGCATGATCTTCATTTTCAGAAAGGTACTGGTATTACCCAGTACTATCTTCCAAGGAACAAGGAAACACTGCTGAGGCTAAATTTGCAAATGATTCCCTGTCACAGTATTAGCACAATGGCCTTGGCTTTCCAACATGAAATACTAGAATTCTATTCTTCTATGAATGTCATATCTTGGAGCTTCTGGTTTGAATAGATTCTTTCAAGAGTTTTGCCTAATGCTGCACTTTGTTAACTAGGGGGGATCATACAATGCAGTTTTGTGAAGATAAAATTTTAAGAAGAGGCCCTGCATACACATGCAGAGACATACACTGCCAATATGAAAGAGTGTTCCACAGGGGAAAAAATAACAATTTAAATGTCTGCGTAAATCCATACTTGGTCACCTTCAATCTTCAGCTGAATCTGCCAATATTTGGTCCATGACAAATAATTAAAACACAGAAATAATCCACCATAAACTGAACCATAATTGTTTCAAACAAACCATGAATAGTCCTGAGGCTGAATAAACATTTCAAACTTTGTTATCGTCTACTTTTTGCTTGGAATGCAGATAAATAAATAATCAGGTGACCACAGAAAAAGAGTAATCCCATACCAGTATTGTAGTTCTCTCACCATAAAGTACTCTACTCCAAAATTTCTCGCCAAACCTCTCAAATTTTACAAAGATAACAATGCCACATTAATGAAATATAGATAACAAAAAAACTATTTCTATGTACTGTATTCCTCTTTAGTGAATAACATTCCAGACAGATCTACCTTGGCCTTAAGGATACCCAAAAACAGTAAAGCAGAACCATGACAGAGAGAAAGGAAAATACTTTGAATAGTCTCCACTCCTCTCTGAAACATACTATTTGACAGCTTATTTTCAAAATGATAGAATAGCAAAGAGCATCAGGCCCTGTGATTCATAAATTCCCAAAGGTATTGTTCCCAGAAGTATTTGTTCTAGCTTCATTTTCCCAACTAAAAGATAAAGTATTGAATCATTCTCCATCAAGCACATGCTCATAAGGAATATTCCTGAAGGGCAACAAATGCCCTTTAGAAAGAAGAGGGGAAAAACACATACTGACATCATACCAATTGTTCTGTTTGCTCTCCATTTTTCCACTGTCACCACTCATTTAAAAGACTGCTGAAGAAGAAATAGCATCAATGGAACTTTTTAAGCTCATCAGTCAAGAGAAAAAGCAGAGAGCTTTATCAACACTTGTCACAGGGTCCCAAAATTTTGATGTCAGTGAGCACCTCTGTAATGCTGCACGAGTGTTATGTGCACTTGCGCAAATGGGGGAGGGATCTTGCCCATTCACAAAATGGCTGCTCTGTTGGACACACATGCCAAAAAAAAATCCATTTGCCACAGGCAAACTGATTAGGCTAAAAAATAAATAAAAATAAAACTCAAAGAGCTAAAATATAAGACAGAGGTGGTATCCAAAGCACAAATCACAAAGCCACTTATTTAAATGTTATGTTTTAAGCCCATATTCTATGAAAGCAAACTGCTGAGTCTTGGAGGCAAGTAATCTAGCCAAAAAATTGAATATAAGATATGTCACATATTTGTATCCCAGAAGAACAATGAAATACTCATTTTACAAAAAGGCCAACCAGTGATATTCAGACACCAGGGGGGATTAAAAACCATTAAAAAAATAAAATTGATTTAAATCATTAAAATTGATTTTTAAAAATTTAAAAAAATGGTGGATTTAAATCAAATCCACTGTGTTAGACACACACCTACACCCACAAGAAGCATACGACAGTATACTAAAGGAGAACAGCCATTTCAAACTCACAGAAGACAGTTTTTTAAAAAAACCCACACATAAAACACAAGTGAAGCATTCTTCTTTACACCAGCCTGTGTAGTTCTTGAGCATATTCCACAACCACCTCGTCCTTTTTCAGGAAGATAGCACAACACACTTCATAATAAGGCACTAAGCAGTAGCCACCCAAAATATTTGCATTTGCTAAGAATGTTTTGGTCTTTATGTAGGGCCCAGAGGCATAACTTGATAATGGGATTTAGCACTTTATAGTATACCAGTTACACAGATAGTTTAAAAAAAAACAGACAAAATAAAAATAAAATAAAGAGAACAAACTTTTTGGCACCTTGAAGACTAATTGCTATATTTTAATGCGTGCTTTGGTGGACAAATCCACTTCCTCAGACATAAAAGTGGGACTACATGACACATATTTATACATGCCCTCGAACCAAAGAGATCAGATGTGTTGGCAGGCTCTAATGCAGTCTGGCAAGCATCAAAAAGGTATTTGTAGGCAAACTTTGGGGATACTAGATATAACACACAGTTCTATAGTGCCAAGATACCTAAAGGACTGACCACGAGCCTGCTTCTTAAATTTTTTTGGAGAGGCTCATTGTGCTCCACTACTTCCATACCTCATTTTGTCTGAAACTCAAGAAAGACCTCTCTTGCCCCCTTCTCCATGTGTACTTTCCACTACAGATCCTTCTCTCCTGCCAAGCATTGGGCTTGTTCAGTCTTTTTCTCCCAGACCCTTTACAAGTTAACTATTTGGTTTGCCCTCTCTTTCCCTTTAACTGTATGTCTGTCTTACGGATTTCATGCTGTTTCCCATTTGGAACATTTTTAATTATGAACGCAGAATATGAAAACTTATCAATGATATGGCCATATCTCTGTATTGCTGGCAATAGTCAGAAAACATGTTATAAACAGGAAGGATTGCAAAGAACTGTTTTACTGCAACTAATGGGGCTTCCAAATAAATGAATTTAGGATCAAGGTGTCAGGATAATAAGCCTCAATGAGTGTACTTATAAATGTTCTTAAGGTCTAAGAATCAATATGTTACAAAGCAATCAATAGAGAAAGCTATGAAGTCTGTACAAACATTGATGGAGGTTTCCAGCATGAATTCGGCACATTAGGTCACTCTAGGTGGCCTGCAAGGCCTCCAGGTAGGCTATCTCCCCCTTTTCATAGGCCCGCCTTCCCAAGGGAAAAAAAGAGGGGCCAGGAAAGCTCTCCCACCTGAGCCACAACCTCAAGATACAATCGGAAAAAGTGAGGGTAGAGTGAGGCCACTCACTTAGGGAGCGTTCCACAAGCAGGCAGCTTGGTGAGGTGAAGGCTGGATGAAGGGTGTCTCACCACAGAGTTATCACTACAAATTGTCCTGGGACTCCACTCCTTATCTGTTCTAAGAGCTACAAAGGAAGGCAAAGCAAAAGCAGCTCAGCATATCTGTGGAAATCTGCTGTCTGTGAATAGTGTGCATGTGTGCTTGTGTGAAACAGAAAATAAGTACAGGGAGAATATGTGACAGCAGTAGCCCTGCACATATGGCATATCATCATCATCATCATGTGCTGTCAAGTCAATTCAGACATGGCAACCCAGGGTTTTCCAGGTACAGAAAGAAGTGATTTACCATTCCCTTCTTCTGAGGCCACCCTGGGGCTGTGCAGCTTACCCAAGGCCACACAGGCTGGCTCAACTCACAGGAGGCACAGCGGGAAATTGAACTCCGAACCATTGGCTCTGCAGACAGATACCTAAACTACCGAGCAATCCAGCCAGCAGTGACATATTGAGTTCCATAAGTAGACATCAAAAATCTGAAGACAAAATTGTGGTGGGTATGTATGTGCTAAGTTGGAGGTAACAAAAGACACTTTTATGTGATCTGAGGCAATGTACAAAGAAGTAATTATTAAGACGTCTACGGAGTTAGTTTCACAAAATGCCTTCTCATTTCAACTTTGACTTCCTCTGTTTCAGTGAGCAAATGAATTTTCTGTTTAAGCGGTCACTCCATCCCTTCTTCCTAGCTTTCCAACAGATGTTCCTGCTGCATCTTACAATCTACCAATTCCAGTTCCTGTGCTGCACACAGGTGGGATGGTGCTATTTTACACATATCCTGCTTGCAGGCCTCCCACAGGCATCTGGTCGGCCACTCCAGGAACAGCATTCAAGATGAAGCAGGTCTATGGCCTGATCCTGCCTAACTTTGTGTTTGTAGACTTTTAAGGGAAATATAAGAATGCCCCCCTCACTTTACTGAGAAACCTGTTGTACAAGGATTCTCTGAAGAAACAAACCATCAAGAATTAAGAGGCAAAAGAAACTGCCCACTCCCCACATCTCTCCACTGGCACTTCCATGGGAACCACCCCCACGATTCCTAAAGCGAATGACAGGACAGAACCTCCCCCTCACCCTCGATTTCACCACTACCGACCGTTTGGCAACCTGCTGTAAAAGAACACGTACCCGCTGTGAGGGCTCCCATCTATGGGGGCCTCCCCTCCCCCGAAGATGGGGTCGCTGCCATCCTTCTGATCTCCCCCCCCCAAACGCCCTCGGGACACACCCGACAATTGCCCCACTTGCAAGCCGAGGGCTCAACTATTCCTTAAACTAAACCTATCCAGCTGCCTACAACAACCCCCCCACCCCACTCCCATGTTTACTTTTAGGAGGACCCAGGCGCACGCAGCGACACCCCCACGAAGTTACCATGGCAACGCAGGGTTTTTTTTCTCGTNNTCTCCCTCCTCCCCCCCCCCCCCCCCGCCAGAAAGCAGCTCTGGCCCCACCATAACCGATCAGAACACTCCCACAGTAACAATCCAGAAGTTCGCCTTTGCCCCCCACCACGAAACAGGTCGCCCTCTTTGAGCCTTCAGACGCACCCTGTTCAACTTAGCAACACAGGCCCGCCCCAAGGCCTACACGGGAGGCGGCAAGTGTGGTCGCCACTAGCACGTATCAAGCGCCCTCCAACCCCCCCTACTATAAATGACCATAATCATGATGATAATCATAAAATCATCCCCCCCCCGGGATTTACCACAGTCAACCGACTAACCACCCCCTCCCCAGCCGAAGGCCTACAGGCATGTACACGCGAGTGTGTGGGTACGTCTCCCCTACAGCGTTACCGTAGCAACCAGGCCCCCTTTCCGGAGGTCCGTACCTGGGGGGCCGCTCTCCCCCTCCCTGTACAACGATACTACAGGGACCTGTGGAGGATGAGATGGAGTGGGCCCCTAAGGCCTACACGGTGAAAGGCAGACCAGTACGCCCCCCCGCCAAAGCGTTACCACAGCAACTGAAAGAGGGTAACATCCCCCTTTTTTTAAAGGAAAAAGACCATACAAACATAACGCCCGCATACAGGTACCTGGAATGTTCCGGGGACATCTCCTACTCAGCCCCCCGAAGGCCTACGAGGGAGAGGAAAGGAGCCCGGCCTGCTCACCCGCCCAACTGCTAGTCCCGGCCTTGAAGGACGATGGGAAGAAGTGAGTTGCTTTTCCCGCACAGAAATGTGGGGCCAAGGGAAAGATACACGGGACGCGGTCTCACCTGCGGCGGCTCGGCTAGGCTTGGCTCCGCTCCTGGCTAGCCGGTTGCGGGGCCTTTTTGCCACAAGGAGACGATGGGGAGCGAGAGAAGGAGGGACCGCTGAAGAAAGGGGGGGGGGGAGAAGCAGCGGCAGCGCCTTCTCAGCACAGACCGAGGGATGCAGGCCGCAAAATCCCCGGTCTCGCGTAGACTCCGCGCCCGGCAAAGGCAGCCTTGTTCCCGGGAGGATTATGGGACTCTCCACCTTCTCCCCCCCTACCCGGATAGGGTTAGAGAGGGAAGGAAGG